GCTCAAACAATGGACCAAAAGGGGAAATATTTCAGAACATCAAAGAACTGTTCAGCGCATTTAACGCTTACATCATGATTAGCATCCAAGCATAAAATGACTCACAGAGAAATCGAATTAAGAGAAATATTAGTAATTCATGCAAAACCCGTTTGTGTATGCATGGTCAATGCAGTGCATATTATAAAATCTATAGTGTTACGAGTATGTGTAGGCATGTGTTAAGATGCGATGTAACCAGTACATTGTTTATTTACAAAGTTAGTTTTGGCATGTTTTCAGCGTACAGCAAAATTTCCGCAACAATGAGGTTTTGAAATGATGTTATTCCATCGAAAAATAATGTGGAATGTATTGTGTGTTCAGATCTGTTTCCTATATTTTGTATATTCTACTTTATGCAATGCATGCAGAAAAATCTCATACTTTGGCCTTGTATGGCCATGTAATGCCTTGATTTGAGTGTAGCTTTAGACATTTGCGGGATCCGGACGATAGCCGATTAGTCTATGCTAGCCGCCCGGGTGTCCGGACCTGCTCTCACCTGTCACTTGTGTATGCATGCATGCGTGTTTTATATATATAACAATTACAGCATAATTAGGACAAAATTATTTAGAACAAAACAATTATATATATGTAATGATATTTTTAAATCAATTGATTAAATTAAATGCTAATCATATTGCTAATAATGTGTTGGCGATTCTCTACCTAAATTGCATCCCTGTTCCTAAAATTTTGGCGAAATCCTTTCTTTAATAAAAATTATATTAACCTGTTGGCGCCCACCAAATCACCAAACTCATAAATCTGTCATATTACATAAAGTCCTTAAGAACACCCCTGATGAGAAGATAGCGTCACCTCGTGATTTCAATTAATATCGCTGATTGGATGAGCACCATGAGTACACGTATCTATAAATAGGGCTTCTCCTAGAGGCTCAGGAAGAACGCTTGTGAGATGGATGCTAAAATAAACGTATCACTTTATATTCCAAAATTTGTCTCATTCTTATTGTCCCGGCTGAACAACACAAATAATGTATGAGATTCTACATTTCATATATATATATATATATATATGCATGAAAGGGTCATCATCATTCACCTAACGGGGAGATGATTATTTTATATTGTTGTTGGGATGTATAAACATCGTTAATAGTTTATTTTCCAAATACTGTTGACTGCTTGAACAATATAAACAACATTTTGTACGTGTCTGCCTACCTAAGGATTATGAAAAGTATGCATAAATTCTGTTATTCTTGCGCTATTTTGTTCGTATAGCATTTTTAAACAGAAATACATTAATTAATACAAGCTTAAATTTTTCACGAGAAATAATTATTAATTTTTAAAGTATGTTTCAACCTTTTTTTTACTATCTATACAAGTGCTGTTGTTTTTACATTAGCATTTTAGAAATATTTTGCTACTTTATTCGTGATAAGGAGATATTTTAAGATTGGATTGCTAAACAACTTTACGGAAGATTATTTGCATACATTAAAACTCTGTTTTCTCTAGCTTGCAAATGAGTATTCTAATTCCAAAGTCATCAAGCCATAGAAAAAATGGTCCGTATAGAAACTGATGTCGTTTTGTCAATTATAAATTGTCTTACATTCTGTGTTTGCTGCAGAGGATATTTTACTTAACTTCACAGAAGAAAATACAAAACAAGCATGATTAAATTTCATTTAACAAAATATGAGATGACTATTAAATGATATTATTTTAAATATTGTTTCCAGCAATTTGAGCTCCAAACCTTTCGTAAAAATATGAGCATCACTAAAGCTTAATTTAGTGGCACTTTGCACAGACGGCTCATATTCAAATAAAATTCAACATATATATATGCATTTGCTTGTATTTTCCTCTACCTCGAATTATTTTCCTCCGATGCAGTTAAATCCTTTCTAATTGTTCTCTTATATTCAGGGAGGAAGTACACGTTACTTAATTAGGAAAACTGTTTTGTGGAAATTAAACTTGTAAGCAAGTAGATATTGATTCAGAAGTCCAACAACAAAAATCAGCATTATATTTTCAAATTTTACAGGACTAGTTTCGATGGTGGTTCGGTAAAACCATCGAAACTAGTCCTGTGAAAATTTGAAAATATAACGCTGATTTTTGTTGTTTGACTTCTGAATTAGTATTTGTTCGGCATGTTATTGTGTCTTAAGTAGATATTGGTTGATTATTTTTAATATGGCGAAATACACGAGGAATGTTTACCTGAGGGGAAGAAGGACTTCGTGGAAAACTTTGCAAAGTAAATTGGATCGTATTCACGTTGCATGAGAGGAAAATCACGAAATCTAACCAAGCAGCCAGCCCACTCGCTTGGGATGTAACTTGAGTTAAACTATTAGTATTCAGCAGTCTAAACTCATGGACTGTAAGCTGGTGAAACATCGTTTGTGGGGTTGACTGCCAGTAGAGTCTCAGAATACACTTTCTGTGTATTTATTTTTTATGTAGCTTAAAAGAACTGGGAGCACTGAATAGTATGAGTGTGTTACAAGTGAATAGTATGCAACAAGTGTGTTATTTTGAAATGTTTCCTTTTCTAGAAGTCTATAAAAGTTAGAACGCCAAGAAAGCCGTTTCTGTAAGTGATCGCCTTATAAAGGTTTTAAGTTAATTGACCCAGTTATCTCATTATTTTGGTTTTACTTTCGTCAATTCCGACCAAAATGCAAGTTAGTCAAATGTGTAAGTGCAGTGTTCTTAAGTTGCAGAAAAAGCTTTAGGCAGTCTTTCTGATCGTTACTCTATTACATCTCCCAACTGCTCGAATTCATTTGCTGCATTTATTCGAATTCATTTCACCTTCGACAAGCCGCATTTATTTCGCAATTGCTTAGGATCGAGACAAGGCTTACTTAGGCACATGGTAAATTGTATCTCACTTTTGTATTGACTTGAACGTTTGTCCCAACAAGTTTTGAAATAAACCAGATAGTCCTTTTTAAAGAGAAAGGCCTGAATGTATGGAACCCAGGTTCCTCCCTACTAATAAGCCTTCTTTCTGTAATAGAAAAAGTACATGAGAGAGCCCTAGCAAATTGCCTCTGGCATCATATAAGAACGTTCAACCCAGCAAGCTCATACCAATTCGGGTTCTCCCCGAATAAGAGCACTGTATATGCAATCAATGAAGTTCTGCAGCAGATAGAAATAAAGTACAGAATCAGAAGTCAGCCCAAACAGCCTTCGATTCCTCTGCTGGTCAGAGGCTCTAGGCACAGTGAAACATATAAACTGTTCAAAAATCATGTATGAAATTTTTCAAGATTACCTCACCAACAGACGCAACGTAATGATAACTAACAACCGTATAACTAAAAAATTACAAGTCAGAGGCTGTGCTCACGGATCATGCTTAAGTGTAGATTTCTGGAACCTAGCGTTTGACACGATCATGAAGCACCAATGGCGCCTAACACTCTGAATGTGTAGCCTTTCACGAACGATGCGGCTTTGGTCGCGAGTGGTAGCTCCAGAGACAAGTTACAAAGAAATGTAAACAACACATTAGAAAATTTCAGTTCTGTATGCAAATAACAAAAAGTAATAATTTCTCAAGAAACATCCCCGCTAATTATCCACAAACCCTCACAATAGATCCCAAGACTTCCCAGGTTCGAAATCGAAGGAAACAAGATAAAAATAGTTAACTCCCTAAAATGCTTGGGCATCATTCATTGATAAAAAGCTTAAGTTTATAGACCATTTAGAATGTATTGAAAGCAAGACCTCCAGAATCATAACCAATCTAAAGAGAACGAACAAAATAGGACGGGGGATGATATAACCAACCCAAAAACGCATCTACCAATCGTGAGCCGAGGGCCTGATCCAAAACTTATTGATGCAGTTTGTCTAGTCAATATCACTTTAAGTTTGACTCTTATGTTTTGTTAATACCGCAAGAAGGAGAGGTCTTCTGTAATTACACGAGCTGAGTAAATTTGTTGAACTGAAAAATTAGTAAAAAGGTTTGTTTAAGCCTTTTTTCTAATTTTTCTTAACGTTACGTTCTTAACGTTTCTTACATTCTTAACGTAACGTTTCTTAACGTTACGATTTCTTAACGTTTCTTTACTTAACGTTAGTTTATTCAATGATTAGAGTTGGGCGATACATCCCCTGACTCTCTACGCTGTGCCTGAAATTAGTCTTTAAAATAGATATGTTCCATAGAACCCTACTAAAAGCAGTTTTAACTTCTGGAATTATTAAAAGAAATCCCATTTATAAACTTACTCAATTTTCAGCGTGTTTCCTAATTTTATCTAAATCACGCATATATTGAAAATGTATTCACATTTAAGAAAAATTAAAAGGTGATAAAATTTGGAATTTTCGTGGTTTAAATACTTTTTTTCTTCCTATGTCTTCCTCACCTTTTTTAACAGAAGAATACATATATAGATATCTGTATCACAGCATCACATTCATGTAAATCAGCTAGCTCTGAATTTGTAAATTTTCTATTAAGAAGTATATATTGCATTTATATGATGACTATGAAGATGGTCGCAACTTTCTACTTGAGTGCCCTTGTAACTATTTATTTACGCATATGTAAGGTGTCCTTGAATTATATTCCTAATGGATTTAAGAGTGTCGATTACCGGCTGTTGATAATTAACCAACGCATCGATACATGAAGTTTATTGCCCAAAGATGTCCATTAAATGCATTGACTGGGAAAGCTAAACAACATGGTTCACTCATAACATATATATTACACACACACACACACACACACACACACATATATATATATACATACACACACACACACACATATGTTATATATAACGCAACGTTTAATAAGATCTTTATTTAAGTACATGTTATAAACAGATGTGTATTGATAAACACTAATAAAAGCCCAAAGCAAGTGTATACTTTTGATAATGTGAAGTATATAAAAGGGTTTTCTTTTTCATATAAGGTGTTTTCCTTTTTCAGTGCAATTTGTTAAATGAAAGATGCTGGAATCAAAGAAGGAACTAGTAGTTTTAGACGCCAATTTATCAAGTACTTCCAATAAACGTAGTCCTTTTCATCTTCTATCAAGCATTTTCAGGTAATGATATTTTACTTTTTATTCAAATAAATAGTTAGAACATTTTTTTTATTAAAAGCAATATTTTTAATGGTTGAAACAACTCGGGTTATATATTTGCATTAGGGAGATAAATAAACATTTTATTTTAATAAAATAGGAAAATTTTAAATACCTTTAAATCGGAATTTGTGCATTAGTTTTCAGGCCTATATTCTTGTTCATAATCTTTATTAAAAACACGATGAGTTAATCCAATGCTAAGGAATCTTTTATTATTGTTGTGTGCGTACGTGTTCGTAATAGATTGAATGCACACAGGTAATAGATTGAATGCACACAGGTAATAGATTGAATGAACACCGATGATAGGTTAAAAAAAATAATTTTTTTACTGCCGAGAAATTTCTAGTACATTGTACTTCTCGCAATTATTGGAAAGCAATATCAAGGTTGAATTACGGTTGCCGTTAATATAGTGATCAATTACATTGTTTTCAATTACAATACCTATTACGGTGATACAGGGACCAGACCAAAATGTCGCCAAGTTTGGCGACTTCAGCGGTTTATCACCAAATTACCGAGATACTCAATTACTCAATGTTAAATTGACTTGCCTCCGTATTCTTACTTTTCCGGCTGTTCCGTTTTGACTAGAAACTTTCACTATGCCGATGTTCCGGTTTGATTAGAAACAAACTTTTCTCTGCCTCTGAATGGCAACAGTGAGAACTTGACTTTCGATTTGCTATGACGCAGCTAGAACGCTGCTCATGAGATGTAACATTAGATTCGATTCTAGATTCTAGATTAGATTAATTTTAGTATTTTAATAAATCCTTTTAAAACTAGATTGAGTATTTGATCATAGACTTATAGCTGAACCACCGCTTGAAGAAATTTAGATGTGGCATTTAGATACGTCGTTAGATAGTTAGATGCGTAGGCAGCGAAATTCGTGATTCGAATAGTGTACATTAGTGCGCACACAAACATTTTTTGGTGCATCGGCCGGGAAGCCGGCTAATATTCGAAAATATCGATTCGTAAGTATGGATTAGCACGGTGTGAAGTGTGCGAAGCCTGCAAAAAACAGGTAGGATAAGTTTTCTATTTTAAAGTGTAATTATGGAAGATCCTGTCGCTAAGCTTAAATTGAAACGCAAAGTATTAATGACCGCAGTGTCCAAGGTACTAAAGAAAATTGAGACAGAATTAAGCAAAGATGACGTTAGTATAAATGTAATAGAAGAAACTTTAGACATATTAAACGAAAAGGCAAAAACTCTGAGTGATTTAAACACTCAAATAGAACAGGATTTGAAGGTCCCAGAGGATGAATTTGAACTTGAAGTTTCATCCGCTCTAGAATATGAAGAAAAAATCCAACTGTGGCAATTTAGAGCAAGAAAAAAATTGAGGGAATTACACAAACTCGAAAATTCAAGGAACATCCTAATGAAACCGCTATAGATTCCAAACTTGAAAATAATAATTCGCCTTCCAAAATTGACTATCGCTAAATTTTTTGGTGATTCTAGCAATTGGCAGGAATTTTGGAGTCAATTCGAGGCAGCTATCCATAACAATGACTCATTATCGAAAGTAAATAAGTTCAGTTACTTAAAGTCATTACTAGGTGGGGTAGCTTATAATGCCGTTTCCGGACTTTCGCTTACAAATGAGAACTACGATTCAGCTATAGAATTGTTAACTAACAGGTTTGGGAGAAAAGATTTGGTAATAAATGCTCACATGAATAAACTGTTAAATCTTTCCCCTGTTAGAAATGTAAGGGATATAGAAAATCTTAGGAATTTATATGATCAGTGTGAAACTCAAATTAGATGCTTAAAGTCAATGAACGTCGTATCAGAAACTTACGGTAGTTTACTTTGCCCAATATTGTTAAAATTAATTCCATCAGAGATAACATTAGAATACAGTCGCAGTAGAAACAGTGACCAAACATGGAACGTTAACGAATTAATGGAATTTATTCGTAAAGAAATAGAAAGCCGCGAAAGAGCTACGCAGTTAAATGAAAGTAGAGAAACAAAAACAAAACACCGAGCGGGAATGATTCATAACTGGAGGCATAAATCAAACGATCGTCTCCACTCCGCTCACGATAATGTAAACAACAAGCGCAGTAAACAGTTTGAAAAAAGTTCGCCTAAAACGTATGAATATGTTGCTCCAGTCGCTAGCAGTAAATGCATATATTGTGACGAACTACACGATTCGGAGCGCTGCGAAATTAAAACCGTGGAGGAGAAAAGAAATATTTTAAAATCTCAAGCCCGATGTTTTTTGTGCCTAAAATCTCAGCATAAAATTAAGCAGTGTAAGGAAAGAAAAATGTGCGAAATATGTAATAAAAAACACAATAGGTCTATTTGTTTCCAACTCGAAACCAAATCGGAGAAAAACAAGGTCGTGTCGACAATTCCATCCAGTAAAGAAGATGTTCAGATTAGTCAATTAAAAACCGAAACTTTCCGCAGTGCATTGCTACAAACGTGCACTGTGATGATACGTCCATTTTCTGAGAAGGATAATTTAGAACCAGTTCGTATTCTATTAGACAATGGATCGATGAGAAGTTTTATAATTCGGGACATTTCAGAGAAGTGTAAATTACCTGTTATTCGAAAGGAGACTTTGTCCGTATTTGCCTTTGGGGTTAACCAGGCAACAGAACAAACTTACAATGTTGTTAAAGTCAAACTAGAAAACAGAAGTAAACCATCCCTAAATATAGAAATTGAAGCTTTAGAAACTAACCAAATATGTGCAACTAATTTAGCTTTCCCTGATATCCCAGTTTCCAAAATTAACAAAGATTTAATAGGATTACAATTAGCTGATTCTTGTGAATTCAGTGACAAAAATATTGCTGTTTTGATCGGAGCAGATTACTATCATGAAATAATAACTGGTAGACTTAAAAATAACTGGTAGACTTTAAAAATAAACTTATAGCTTCCGAAACAATATTTGGATGGTGCCTTCAAGGCCGGACTGATTCTAACGGTAGATTGTTAAACATGGACATTATTGTTGATGACAAATTGGTGTCAACACAGTTAAAGCAGTTTTGGGAATTAGAAACATTGGGGATTGAAGAAGGGAAGGAAATTAGTAAAATAGATAATGACATTTTAGAGAATTTTAACAGAACTATCAAATTTAAAGAAAAGCGATATGAGGTTAAACTCCCTTGGAATGAACATTCGTCTGAATTAAAAACGAATTACGTAAATGCAGAAGTTCGCTTTAATAAACTGGTTAAAAGGTTAAGAAATGATCCACTGCTTCATCAGCAGTATCACTCAGTTATAGAACAGCATTTAAAAATGGGTATAGCTGAGGAAATTGATCCAAGTTCTGAAGAAACAGGAAGAATTTATTACATGCCTCACCAGCCAGTTATTCGACCTGACAAACCCGTGAGAGTTGTATTTGATGCATCCAGCCATTCGAAAAATGAATATTCTTTAAACGATTGTCTCTATTCCGGTCCTAATTTAAATCCACCATTGTTAGAGATATTAATACAATTTCGTACACCATAGCATAGCATTTACTGCCGACATTGAACAAGCCTTTCTCCAGATTTCTCTGTCACCTGAAGATAGGGATGCTGTAAGATTTTTGTGGGCAAATAACCTTACAGATAAGGATGGGAAACCTAACACGAAAATACTTAGGATGACTCGCGTTTTGTTTGGAGCTACATCCAGCCCATTTTTGCTTGCCGCTACTATCAAACATCACATAAATACCTTTAAAGAAACAAATCAGAAAGCAGTTAAACTATTGAACGAATGTTTATACGTAGACGATTTAATAGGTGGGGATGAAGACGAAAACGAAGCCAAACTCATATATGAAGATATTAGATATATTTTGAAGGCTGCTGGTTTCAACATGCGAAAATGGAAAACAAATTGTGGGAATCTGCAGGAAGGTTTTTGACGAATACGAAAATGGTGAAATCCAGAAAGTTCTGGAACAGAAGGTATTGGGATATAAATGGAATTACAAGGAAGACCTTCTGAAGATAGAATCACAAAATCTAACTAATCAAGGGAAAACAAAGCTAATGACAAAAAGAGAAGTTCTTAAAACCATTGGAAAGCTTTACGATCCCATTGGATTTATAAGTCCATTCACTATTAGGGCAAAAATACTAATGCAGGAAATTTGGCAACTTGGAGTAGATTGGGATGATCCGTTATTGGACTTTGAAAACAGAATGAAAAAAAATGGATTAATGAACTGTGTCAGCGATTCAGGATGTAAACATTCCGCGACATTACGTCCGAAACTAACAAGTCTGAATTGAGAGATATTCAAATGCATTGATTTACCAACGCAAGTCAGAAGGCATATGGAGCTGTGATATACCTGCGATACGTCACGACATGGACAGTGAAATAGGAAGTAGTTTTGTCATTTCCAAAACCAGAGTAGCTCCACTGAAGAAGCTGTCCCTTCCAAGATTAGAGCTGATGGGGGCGCTCATCGGAGCAAGATTAGCCTCGAATGTGAAAGAACAGTTAGAGAAAAAGACTCCAGATGAATGTATATTTTTGGTCAGACTCTTCTGTTACGTTACATTGGATAAAGGGGCGATTTAAATAAATGGAAGCCATTCATCCAACATCGAGAGTAATGGAAATACGAGAGAAACATCACCTGAGTCCTGGAATTATTGCCCTGGAGATGAAAATCCGGCTGATATGCGGACCAGAGGAACAAATACAAATTCCACAAAAGGAATAACGTTGTCTGAACTACGAAATAGTGACATGTGGTGGCATGGACCTAAGTGGCTATTACAGAGCATCGATTCGTGGCCTAAACTTGCAGAATCAGTAAGATATTTCAAAGGATCATGAAGAGCTTGAACTTCGAAGGGGAGCTGTAGTGAACTCAACAGTCACAGGTGAAAATTCCATTGAGAACGAATTCATTAAAAGGTATTCGTCATTCAGCAAATTGATTAGAAC